CTGGCACACCAATCACCCTTTCCCCAATCTGTCCACCTAACTTCCCTCCCTAGCCTTCATAGCCATCATTATAGATATATTTCTTAAGATTTATCTACCTTTATTGGAAAGACAGATTTACAGAGAGAAGGAGAGAGAGAAAAAGAGAGAGAGAGAGAGAGAGAGAGAGAGAGCTCTTCCATCCGCTGTTCACTCCCCAAATGGCCACAACGGTCAGAGTTGGGTGGTCTCAAGGCAGGAGTTAAGAACTCCTTCCAGATCTCCCACATGGGCTGACCTCCACTGTTTTCCCAGGCCATAAGCAGAGAGCAGGATCAGAAGTGGAACAGCTCAGATCAGTGCCCATATGGGATCCCCGGGCTTAGCAAGAGGATTAGGCTGCTGTGCCACCATGCTAACCCCAACAGCATTTTATTTTTAACTTCTGTAATATCACAATTTTATAGGTTCCATATCTAAATGAGAGCATATGGTATTTGTCCTTTTGTGCTTGGCTTATTTTAACATAATGACCTCTAGTCCAGCCATTGCAAATTATTTCATTCTTTGTATGACTAAACAATATTTCGTGTTCTTTAAGTATATATATATACTTGTTGTTTTCATTTCTTAATTACTGTAACTAGTACTGCAATAAGCTTGGAGGTGTAGATGTCTTTTCAAAAGATGGGTTTCATTTACATTAAATATATAGCCTGGAACGGAATTGCAGATCATGTGGTAATTTTAGCTTCTTTGAAGGATTTCCACCCTGTTTGCAACATTGGCTGCGCTCACTTCTATCCTCAACAGTAATGTAAACCATTCCCTTTGCTTCACACCTTCCCCAGCGTCTGCTATCTTTGGTCTTTCTGGTAATAGACTTACTAGTGGAAGATGATTTCTCATAGTTGCTTTGCTTTGCATTGCACTGATAATAATGTCAGGCATCTTTCACTTACCCACTGGCCATCTGTGTGCCTGTGTTCAAGAAGTGTCTATTTACATCTACTGTTGCTTTTAGCGGATGAATTATTTTGCTATTGACTTGTCTGAGATCCTTATATAGTCTGTATAGTAAGTCCTTGTCAGATATACAGCATGTAAAAAGATCCTCTCATTCTTGACGTTGTCTCTTCATCCTTATTGTTGCCTCTCTCATACAAAAACTTCGCAGCTTGATTGAAATCCAATTCGTCTATTTTTGCTTTTATTTCCTATGCGTTAGGGGTCTAGTCTGTAAACCCTTGCCAGTCCCAATGTCCTGAAGTATTTTTTCCTTTGTTTTCTTCTGCTAGTCTTGGTTTCAAGTCTCATATTTAGATGTTTCATATATTTGGAGTTTGTTTTTGTAAAGGTTAGAGGAATTTAGCTTCACTCTTCTGCATGTGAATATCCAATTTTCCTAACACTGTTTATTTTTGAAAAGCTACCCTTTTTCAAAGCATGTTCTTAGCACCTTTGTCAGGATCAATTGGCTATAAGATAAGTGAGTTTATGTCTAAGATCTCTCTTCTGTTCCACTGGTCTATTCACTGTTTTTATGCCAGTACCATGCTGTTTAACTTACTATCATTTTGTAATAATTTTACAATCAGGTAGTTCTATGCCTCCCGTTTAGTTCTTTTTGCTCAAGATCACTATGGCTATTAAGGATCATTTGTGGTGCCATATTTAGGATGTTCATCTCTAATTCGGGGAAGCATGTCATTAAGATTTTGGTAGAGATTGTATTAAGCCTGTATATCCCTTTGGTGAGTAAACACAGTTTAATGAGACTGATTCTTCCAGTCCATGGAAAGGAGATGTGTTTCTGTTTCTTTGTGTCCTCTTCAATTTCTTTCATCATTGATTTCCAGTTTTCATTGACGACTTTCAACTCTTTGGTTCAATTTATTCTCAAATACGTTAGTTTGCTTGTGTAGCTCTTTGAAATGGAAATGTTTTCTTGATTTCTTTTTCAGATAATTGATTCACTATTAGTGTACAAAAACATGACTTACTGAGTTCTGTACTTTGGCTTTATATTTTGCAACTTGCTAAGTTTAATAGCTCAAGCAACTTTTTGAGGGAGTGGTTTAATTTTCTTTAAGATCACTCCATTCGCCAACAGTGATAAGTTGACTTTCTCCTCTACAATTTGGATGCTGTTCATTTATTTTTCTTTGATAGCTAGTCCAAACAAGACTTCCAGCAATTTCTTGAATGAAAGCAGACATCTTTGTCTTGTTTCAAGATCTTGCAAAAAAATCTTCAGTTTTTCCTTATTGAGCATGATAGTAACTGAAGGCGTACATATAGCCTGAATTGTGGTGAGGGCCATTTAGCACTTCTCTTTTCTAAATTATTATAATGCATTGAATCACACATCCCCAGAATGAATCCCACTTAATCAAGGTAAATGATAGCTTTAATGTATTATTGGGTTCAATTTGCTAATAGGATGATTTTTCCATTTATGTTCATCAAGGATATTGGTCCATAGTCGTCGTCTTCCTTTTTTGTTTTCTTCTGTTTTGCTTTGGACCATGTGCTTGCCTTGTCCTGGTGGCAGCAAGATAAAGCAGGAATGGCTTATGCAGAATTCCCTCCTCTGCTATTTTTGAGAAATTTTGAGAAATTTTAAGAAAGATTGATGTTAATTCTTTAAAAGTCTAAGAGAATTCTTCAGTGAAGCCATCTGGTCCTGAACTTCTTTAATGAGATTTTTTAAATTACTGATTCAATCTCATTACCTGTTGTTGGTTTTTAATTATTTTATTTCCTTATGATTAAAACTCGGTAAGGTGTATCTCACCAAGAATTTGTTTATTTCTTTCAGGCTAATAAATCGGTTGCTATATAATTTTTCAGAGCAAATTTTTTAAAAGCTTTCTTTATTGTTATTGGGAAGGCAGATCTACAGAAAAGAGATATAGAAAGATCATCTGTCCACTTATTTACTCTCCCTGGAGGCCATAATAGGAACTGAACTAATCCAAACCCAGGAGACTGGAACTTTCTCTGGTACAGAGTCTCAAGGTTTTGGGGCATCCTCAGCTGCTTTCCCAGACCACAGCTGGGAGCTGATTGGGAACTGGAGCAGCCAGGACATGAACTTGTGCCCATATGGATTCCAGACATGCAAACAAAAGATTTAGCTACGAGGCTATCGTGCCAAGCTCTTTTCATAGCCAGTTTAGCAATCCTTTGTATTGTTTGTGACAGCTGTCATTCTACATATTTGAGTTATCTTTATTATACCGTTTATTGATTTTCTTGTCTTTTTAAAGAATTGGCTCTTTATTGATTTTTCATATTTTTCGGTTTTGATGTCACTTAGTTGTACTCTGGGTCTCCCACATGGGTGATAATAGCACAGGCAGTTGTACCATCTCCCATTGCTTTCCCAGGTACATCAGCACGGGACTGGATGGGAAGTGGAGCAGCTGAGGCAACTCATTTGCAATGCCAGTGTTGCAAGTGAGAGCTTAAGCTACTATGCCACCAAGCAAGGCCCCCACATCAATATTAAAGTCAAGTATCTTCCATTCAGATTCCACTATACACAACCCATAGTTAGTCTAACTGAGCAACTATTTCCCCCTCTGTAAAACTGATAATGTTGACAAGGTTAAATAAAATAATGTGTATAGAGCAGTACATCTAATCCATTTCAAAGAAAGTAAAGTCTGAGCTGAAGTGAAAATGATAGGCAGGCACTCAAATTGGTCCTACTGGGCAAGGCAGAGACTAAACCTGAAAATTCAAGTGGAGGTAGCTGTCAGGTGACCATTAGAGCCGTGGTTGGCAGCAGTGACAAGCTGAGGTGAGAGAGAAAAGGATGAGAGTGGGAAGAAGGTGGTGGGATCAACCTTTGGACCACAACATTAGCCTTCTCACAATTTTTCCTTGCTCTTCTTTTACCCCTCCACACTAGCCTAGGCCTTATCTAGGCAACTTGTTTAAATAGTTTCTGCCTCAGTTTTCTCGTCTGTAAGATCAAAAATTAATCTTCTATGAAGAGTAAATTAATTAACATTCATCAAGAGATTAGGTCAATGGCTGGCGCACCGCAAGTGATGAGCATTTGATGAAGATTCTTATTAGAATCATTAGCAGCACTGCTAATCGTGTTTCTCCTGATTGCCAGGGTACGGAACGATGACGGATGGCAGCTAAAGTTGTGCCCAGGTTGTTGAATTTGTGAATGTGTGTGTGCTTTGGAAAATAAGCAGTAGTGTTACAGCAATATGACAGAAATTATACATGTAATTGTAAATATGCTAGAGGCCATACGACAAAAGTAACATGCCACAGGTGAAAATAATTTTAGCACTGTTTTTTTTAACTTAATAAATCTGAAATACTATTTCAACACATGATCAACATAAACATTTTTAGTGAAATAGTTTATACAAATTTCATACTAAGTCTTCAAAAATTCAGTATATATTTTTTTAAAGAGCTAATTTATTTATTTGAAAGGCAGAGTGACAAGAAAAACAAAGATTTATTATCCATGGGTCACACCCCAGTAACCAAAACAGGGGACAGGGACAAGCAAAAAGTGGGGTCTTGGAACTCAATTCAGGTCTACTATCTGGGTGACAAGGACACAAGAAAGTGAACCACCACCTGCTGCTTCCCAAGATGCTCAATGTCAAGAAGCCAGATTGGAGCAAAGAGTAGGACACACACTCAGGTACTTGATGTGGGATGTGGGAGAGCCAACCTGTGTCTTCATCTCTAAGCCAAAATCCCCAACCATATCCACATCACATACCCAGAATCTCTTTTCCAGCAAGCACCCCCCTTTTAAGTGCTCCATAGCCACTAGTGAGTATAGATTATCAGAGTGGACAGGATAACTAGATAAATGAGATCAGAAGACAGACACAGGATACATCTGAAGGGAAAAAAAGGAAGAAACAGCTAACCAGATAAAGACAGAAACGGATAAGAGGCTTTCTGTAAGTGAATGATAACCCTGCCGCTGTTCCCCGTGATAAAACAGCATGTTGCCATCCTCTGCCAAACAGGATCCTGATTCCCGATCTGCAACGGGAGATTGAGAAACAGTTTGATGTTAAAGAAGATACCGTGGGCAGCCACAGCTATGCTAAATACAACAACTGGGACAAGGTACCTATAAAATGCTTGTGCTTCAAAGAAAAACATGACCTCAACCTTTGCTTTCATTTGCTGTAACTGCCCAAAACTTGTTTTATTCTTAAGATCATGGCTTGGACTGAAAAAATGGCACGCAAGCATCCCAAAATGGTCTCTCGCATTAAAATCGGATCTACTGTTGAAGACAATCCAATCTATGTCCTCAAGGTAATAATAGTTCAGAAACTATTGGTTCTTGTTTGAAAGTGAGTTTAAAAGTTAGCTTATACCACCACTGAGCTAATTCTCAGAAAACAAAGAACTCCAAATAGTTCAAAAATAGAATAAAAACACCAGGTGATTTTCAGGGGAATACTTTTTTTAAAAATCTGAAAAAACACTTGTCAAGACATCTCAGCAGAAAAACCAAGAGAGACACTTCATCCCACTGCTTTATTGAGAGTTTGTAATGTCCTTGTTGTATAAAACACTTGTCCACCTTTTGAATTCAATGAAACTGTTGCATGAATGAGCAAAAGTAAGCATCATGGGCTCAAGGGACCCAGAACAGTATCGTCTCAATGTCAAGTTGAAAGGCAATTCCTTCTTATAACACACAAGTTGACCATTCGCAGTCAACTACGCAAGCTTTTGTGCAAAGAAATGATTCCTAGAGCATCTCCTTGGTTACTAGGAAGCCTATTTTCATCCTGAACCCCCTATCCATTCACTGTCTTCAACCACTCAAAACAAATCAAAACTCTCTAAAATGATAGACCTTTAAATACGCCTCATTATTGCTCCTTTGCTCTCTAAACACAACATAAGGCCTTCTCCATGCCACGAGAAAATCTCCAGTACATGAAACCAGGAAAGAAAAGGGAAATGACTCGTTATTTTATAATCTATTTCTCAAAACATGTCAACATTAAAATAAGAAAAATAAGATTATGCTATTTTTTTTTAAATTCTAAAAGCCACTCTGACAATAAGAATGTTTGAGAGCTATCCAGTATAATGGGTGATGAATTATGTATGGACACTGAAGGACAGGTGGCTTGGACCTGTCTGAGACCAACACATGCGTAAATGGTTCCCCTGTGATAGACAGGGAGGGAATTGCTATGAGAATATGAATGAGCCATTGGGCGACAAGCGATCAGTGTGTGAGTTCGTGCAAAATAATGGCTTATGTTTATTTTTAAATAGATTGGGAAAAACGAGGGAAAAAGAAAGGCTATTTTTATGGACTGTGGCATTCATGCACGAGAATGGGTGTCCCCGGCATTCTGCCAGTGGTTTGTCTATCAGGTAAGTGAATCGGAACAGGAGTACTCACAGCCTCATCCACCTGTCAGGCCTGAAGTACCTCACTGAGCGGCGACACCCCCTCTAAGCAAGCGCAGTTCCACTTAACCAGGAGACCCACACTTGATGCTGTCAGGGAATAAATGCGCTGGCTATTACTCATTGCCGCAGCTTTTATAACATCGGCACCTCCCTTCAAACTTCTTGAACTCCAGCTGAGAGTTGACTAGACTCAAAACAGTTTCTTGGCTATAATTTGAAAGTTTTTCCAATGTTTGAATATGGGAAAGCTAAAAAAAAAGACCTCCATTTACAACTGCAAATTTCATGTTTCTTTGGTGAGTTTAAGATACAGACCATCTTATCCTTGGCCACATACGTACGTACTTAAAACTTTTTATATTTAGTATTCCTTTCCAGGTACAAAATAACTTTTTAAGGCAGAACTAGTTTATATGTGTATTATTCTCACTCTACTAATAATGTGTTCTGATTCCTGTTTTAATTTTCTTATGCTGTTAGCTTTTGCATACCTAACACACTGATGGTGTTGGGGTGACAATGATTTTCTAGGCATGATTATTTTCACCAAAAAGAACCTGTCCAAAGAAGTGACCTGTCCTCCGACTGCCTTAGCTCTCCTACCAAGGCCCCAGGGCTCCACGAAGGGACACATATGCACATCTGAAATCAATATAAATATCCCATGTCAGCCAAGATTAAAAATAAAATATAGGATCACAAGAAATCTCTAAGGCAGACCAGCCTTGTGGTAAGGCAAGCTAAGATGCCATGTGGAGTACCCACATCCCCTGGTTCAGGATGCCCTGGTTCAGCCTTGCCTCCTTTTCCAGTCCATATCCCTGTGAATGTGAACCCTAAAAGAGAGTAATGACTCACGTGCTTCATTGCCTGGCACATATGTGGGAGATCCTGTGGAGCTCCTGGCTCCTGGCTTCAGCCTGGCCCAGCCCTGACTGTTGTGGGTAATTGGAGCATAAACTTGGGGCTGGAAGATAGTATCACCTCTGTTTCCTCTATCCCTTTTAAAATAAAATAATGTCTTTATGTATTGATATAATATAGATGATATAAAAATTATATATATGTTATATGTATATAAATTATATATACATATATATATAATGCCATTGGTCTGACAATTATTTCTGTTTTACCCTGTAATCTGTGTGTATTATTTGAAGGAAAATATTGAGAGGATATATTTTTAAAATCATAGGGCCATGGGCCAATGACTCAAGAAATAAGTTATTACAATAGTTATTACAATTATAGCTACAATTCTTTACCCAGCAGCTGAACTTCACACAATAGCTTAATTTCTCTTACCTCTACAGGCAACCAAAAGTTATGGAAAAGACAGAATTATGACCAAACTTTTGGATCAAATGAATTTTTATGTTCTTCCAGTGTTTAATGTTGACGGATATATTTGGTCATGGACACAGGTACTGCTCAACAGTCCCTTATTGGTTTTAATCCACATTGATTGTCAAGCATTAATTTTTTATTAATATAAAGAGAACAGATTTTATGTAGATTGTAGATAAAATTCTGAGAATCTAATGATACTTCTGTTCATCCCTCCCTCTCTCCCTTTCTCCTCTTTATTTCCTTTCTTTTTGTCCTTAGGTATTTATTTTAAGGTTGGGCAACTGCTTCATACCAATTCAAAACAAAAATTTCTTTAAAATTCTATTTCAGACTGCATCAAGTAGCATTTCCTGGCTTGCAGATGTCCTTAAGTAATACCATATCTCTTCTACACAAGCTAATAACGTGGAATGGAATAGCACAACAATTATACAGGAAACGTGTGGTTATATGATATGGACATGTGTATTCTGACTGAGAATAAACATCGTTTGGGGTTAGGCCTCGTAGCACAGTAGGTGAAGCTGTTGCTTGGGGTGCCCTCCCCGCAAGTGCCTGGGATCAAGTCCTGCCTCTGCTACTGACCCAGGGTCATGTTAATGCCGGTGCCGGTGACAGCCCAAGGACCTGGGTTCCTGTCACCCATGTGGGACCCTTGGATGGAATTCCTGGCTCCTACTTTCAGCCTGGCCCTGGCAGGCTTTTGCAGACATGTTGGGAGTAAACCAGCAGTTGGAGAATCGCTTTCCCAAAAAGCTTTCCCACATCACTCTGCGTTTCAAATAAATGTAGCTTTAAATAAGAATAGACATTATTTAAACGCATGATAAACTCATTGTTTTCAAAGCAAAAAATCATTGTATTCCATCAGTTAGAAATAGAATCCAGATGAGCCATTATATGAAAAAATACAAGAGACAGATATCTTTGCCTTTTTGCCAGATGTTTTATTGCCCTGCTGTTGCTAAATAAAATTAGTCTGAATTTCCAGATACATATCACATCAAGTTCTTTTCTGAAAATTTGATCCAGCAGTCACAAGTTTGTTTTTTATCTGAATTTATAAATGATGAAAATTTAACAAAATTATAATTAATATGAGCAATTTCTGAGCATTGTTGATCATTTTCTAATTAGAGACTTAACCAATGGTTTTTAAAGCTAAGTGAGTTATGTCAAGACCTAAAAATATTACTATTAAAATCCATGTTTTTGAAAACATGACAAATTCTAAGAAAATATTTTTTCTTCCTGTTAAAGGGCTTCTATATAACTGGATGGATTTTAAATAAAGCTTTCAGTAACTGCACAGGGAGAGTGTGAGATGATCAATTTGAAAAGTACAAACTGATCATGGGTTAACACTTCTATGATTTAATCTGGCAGGACCGCATGTGGAGAAAAAATCGTTCTAAGAACCCAAATTCCAACTGCACTGGAACTGACCTCAACCGGAACTTTAATATCTCGTGGAATGGTGAGTGGCTGACACAGTCTCCTGGAAAGTTGTTGGAACACTGATACACCAAATTTAAGTAAAGCACCAATTTGTTTTGGTAAAATAAGGTATTCCCGGAGTATTAATTTTCACAAAATGGAAGATAATTGTTATTACTACTGAGGGGCCATGAATGGTTCATTGCAGAAGGATGTGTGAAAGAGAGAGGGCTGCTGACCCAAAATAACATATGTAGCTTACTAAAAATCAGGCATTATCCAGATGCACACAAATTCAGATAATCTAAAGAGATAGCTCAGGCATATCTTCTTCCTGGTCTGATAAATATTGAGAACCCAAAGAGGTGCTGTGTCACAGAAGATTAAACCACTGCTTGCAATACCAGCGTCCCACATCAGAGCTCTATTTCCTGGCTGCTACAGTTTCAACAGCACCCTGATGAAGTGCCAGGCAAAGCAACAGATGGTGTGTTTCAGCCTCTGCACCATCCATGGGAGATGTGGATGGAGTCCCGAACTTCCAGCTTTGGTATGACCTAGCCCTGGCTGTTGGGGTCATCTGGAAAGTGAACGAGCAGGTGCAAGATTCTCTTACTCTCTTTGTCAGTCTGACCTTCAGATAAGTAAATCTAAGTTTTGCTAAACTTTAGAAAACAGATGTTAAAATCAATGTCCGTGGCAGGTATCACATGTTTAGCAAACAGAAATATCTCAGGCAAAGAAACTGTAAAGGCAATGCAAAGCCGAGGAGAGACCCAACACTGCAGCTGTTGGTGCGGCAAGGTCTTAGCTCACCATCGCCTACCCTCAAGGGGATATTACCACTGCTCCTTGTTGTGTTGAAAATACTGTTTCAGTTTTTTACCACTATTCTTTCATAACAGATATGACAATAATTGCAGGTGTGCCTAACTGAAAAAATTTTTTATGAAACTGGCAGAACATTTGGTCTGCGAGAAGCTAACTTAACATCAGTTCCCAGGCAATGAGAGCCAGAGTTGAATTGGAACCGGGTCTGTCTGCTCCAACTCCTAGGTAGCTTCCTCTAAAAAACTCATTCCTGGGCCCTACAAAAGGAAGGGAAATGAACACTTCAGTGGGCTAAGTCTGTTACCAACTGGAGTGTGTGGACAGAGTTGCTGTGCAGTAGCTGTGACAAGAGAAACTTTGAGGCAGCCCTGTCAAGACGAGCAGCCAAATGTTTTAAAGTTGTTTTAGAGTCTGTGTTAGGAGAGGCAGAGCCTGGCGTGAATGGGAGCAGATTATAATCTCATCCACTGTGTCTTCTGCAGCTTTTCCTAGTACCGATAACCCTTGTAAAAGTATCTACCGGGGCCCTGCACCAGAGTCTGAGAAAGAGACAAAAGCTGTTGCTGACTTCATCCGAAGCCACCTGAACTCTATCCAGGCTTATCTCACCTTCCACTCATATTCCCAGATGCTGTTGTTTCCTTACGGGTTTACATCAAAACTGCCACCTAACCACAAAGACCTGGTAGGTACAAAGAGACGTGAGTTTATTATGGACACCATGGTTGTCTTTTGATCTGTTCATTAACACTTGGGTGATGTTGAAAAAAGTTCACATAGTAATGACAAAGAAAAGAACTAACAAAGCTTGTCTCAGAGTTAAAACCATGATTTTTAGATTTAAAAAATACTAGCAATACAATCTTTCAATATGATGCTGAGAAAAATTTAGACAAAATGTCTAGATCTGTTGCCACCCAGCTCCTGGTATCTTAGTGTCTACTGTGGATCCTCCTCTGACTTCATACACAGCAAATCTCTAAAGAAAAGCAAAGACAGGTGCAAATTCTACCCCCAGACTCCTGATTTGAGAAGATCCACTGTATCCTTATCCTCCTGATCAACTTCTAATTGACTTCAATTTTTGTACTATCTGAAAAAAATAAAATTGTAAGTGTTTGTATAGTTTCTGAATTCAGGATAAACTTCTTTCAAAACTACATTCCTTTCTATAAAACAGATCTAAACATGTGAACTTTAAAAAATCATAAGCCCTCCTACCGGTTCAGTGACAGTGTAGATGAGTGACTAAAGAAGAAATGTTTTGAATTAGGAGATGAAACACAGGAAAAAAGCCCCCCAGATACCAGAGTGGTCGGCAATAAATCATATCCAGTGAAAGGTGTGGTTAAGTACTAGTCTACGCAATTAAGATGTTTTGCTTAAAACGAAGTCACAGGTTTCATTTCCACTTTAGTCAACTGCATTCACCACGACAAAATTTAGTTATATTTCTATCAGAGACTTGAATCAGTCATTAAAACTGTATAGGTTCAAGGGCATTCCAAAAGCAGATACTTGGCCTAGCAGCTGACAGGCCCACTTCCTTTATCAGGCTGTCTGAGTTCAATTCTTTCTCCCGCTTTTGATACCTTTCTCGGCCAGGCAGGTCCTGGAAGGCAGCAGTTTTGGCTCAAGTCCTCGGATGCCCATCTCTCATGGAGAAGGCCTGAATTGTAATCGAAGTCATTATTGACATCTACAGAGTGAGCCACACCGGATGAGAGCACACTCTCTCTGTTTCTCTTCCTCGCTGTTTCTTGATTTCTCTGTCTCTCTGCTTCTCAAATAAATTTTTTTAGTTAAAAAAGGTTTTAGATAGGGCCACGCCAATGGCTCAACTGGCTAATCCTCTGCTTGCAAGTATCAGAATCCCAGTTGGGCACCAGTTGGAGTCCCCTCTGCTCCATTTCCCATCCAACTCCCTGCTTATGGCCTGGGAAAGAATTTACAGTTAAAGAATGTATAGTTAAAATAATTTATAGTTAAAGGAAAAACACAGGAAAATGAGCAATGGCTTTATCATTTTTGTACATCATTTAATTTTCATTGAGAAGAGTTTTTACAATGATAACATATCTTACTAAAAATAAGTTTCCTCATTTAACTGTTATAGTTTTGATCTTTAAATGACAAACAAGGAGAGCCAGTGCAGTGACTCCCAGGCTAATCCTCTGTTTGCAAGTGTCAGGATCCCATACAGGCACTGGTTCTAGTCCTTGCTGTTCCACATCCCATCCAGCTCCCTGCTTGTAGTCTGGGAAAGCTCTAGTCCTTGAGCTCCTGCAACCCATGTGGGAGACCCAGAAAGAAGAAGCTCCTGGCTCCTAACTTTGGATCGGCTCAGCTCCAGCTGTCATAGCAGTTTGGGGAGTGAATTGGCAGATGGAAGATTCTCTGTCTCTCTCTCTCTCTTTCCCCATATCTCCTCACTACTAATCTGCCCCTCCAATAAAAACAAGGAAAATATTTTAAAATAAATAAATAAAATAAATGCTAAATAACCAGTAAAATTGACTTTTTTTAAAAAAAACCACTCTATAAGGCCACGTAGAGGTATTAACTATACCCCGTGTACTGCAAATGATGCAAGTATTTACATGGTGTTCTCTTTTCCCACTCTAACCTCCCTCCTCTCTAGGCCAAGGTTGCAAAAATGGGCACCGAAGCTCTGTCAACTCTATATGAAACCCGCTACATCTACGGCCCAATAGCATCAATACTTTGTAAGTTTTTCCTGTTAGGTATTGTATTCTTTGCTCTGTGACCTCTTTTTTTTATCAATAGTTTTATTATCATATTTGCAAATTAGAATTAAACATCTAAAATTGCTCATTTGAACTCTAGATCTCATAGAAAATTCTGGGTCTATTGGAATTTTTTCCCTTTTTTTAAGATTTTATTGCTATTTTTTATTGGAAAAGCAGATATACAGACAGGAGAAGATACAGACAGAAAATAAGCTTCCGTCTGCTGCTCTGCTCCACAAGTAGCTGCAATGGCCAAAGCTGAACCAACCCAAAGCCAGGAGCTTCCTCCAATTCACCTACGTGGGTCCAGGGTCCCAAGGCATTGGGCCGTCCTCCATTGCTTTCCCAGGCTACAAGCAGGGAGCTGGATGGGAAGCGGAGCAACTGGGCTACCAGCCAGCACCCATTTGGGATCTTGGCGGATGCAAGGCAAGATTTTAGCTATTAGGTTATCTCACTGGCCCAGAGTTCTTTCTTTGGAGTAAGACTTGACCAAGAGCAAATTACACCTGTCTTTTACAACATTACAATGCCCACATAAATTACTAAGTTAAGAAAAGTTTATAGTTTAATTAATCTATGTCCCATCCCCTACCTCCACCAATATCTATACTCTCATTAACTATCAAAACAATGTAGGGAGAGAGTCTACATCATTTTTTTTTAATGTCAGATATACAGAGAGGAAGACCTTCCATCTGTTGATTCACGCCCCAAGTGACCACAGTGGCCAGAGCTAAGCTGATCTGAAGCCACAAGCCTGGAGCCTCTGTCGGGTCTCTCACATGGGTGCAGGGTTCCAAGCCTTTGGACCATCCTCAACTGCTTTCCAGGGCCACAAGCAGGGAGCTTGGTGGGAAGCGAGGCTGCCAGGATTAGAACCAGAGCCCGTACAGGATCCCAGCATGTGCGAAGCAAGGACTTTAACCACTAGGCTACTGTGCAGGGCCCATCCTACACCACTTTTATTAAACGATTTAGCTTGAACTATACTCTTCTTTGGCATTGTCCTCACGCAAATGCAGTCTTTTCCCTAAATCCTGGTAGGAAGTGTGTGTACAATCAGGTCCAACCATTTGTTTATATGGAACCAGTTTCTGGTTCCTCTCACACATCCCTTCCCATTGTGCTCAACTGAAATCCACATGGTGGACTAAAAACGTGTATCACAAGGTTCTTGATTGATTGCGTTTGCTTCTTGTTCTTTCCTATTGGGATTTCTTTGTGTTTCTGAACTATTGACTTAGATTTCTTGGTCTTGATATTCTTGTCTCTTATTCTCTACACAAGGAACCAACACTCTGTGTAAATGACCACGTAGTAAATCATTTTGGCTTTGCTGAAGGGAACAGCTTCTGTTGCAGCTACTCAATGGCGGCACTGTGGATTGAAAGCAGTCAAGGACAGTGAGTTGACCAATAGACATGGCTGCCTGCCAATAAAATCCCATTCACAAACATAGGAAATCGGCCATAGTTTGTACAGAATGAACAGTATGTGTAATTGTTTGGGTATTTTTTTTTCTTACAAGTTAGGCAATGTGTCTAGACCTTGGCTTTCATATTCTCAATTAATCTTCATAAAAACCACATAGCACTATTTCCCAGCTGCTGGCAACTGCTAACGTTGGGACTCAACTGCACATTTCAAATAGAAGTCTATGGTCTTCCATTGTGCACGTAACTCTCTCACTTGGCTGGGAAGCTGCCATCATCAGGCTTTTCTGGATTGAAGCAATAATAGCAGCAAAAACTATTCATTACTTCTCACCAAAAAACATTAATTCAGACCTTGGTTAGAGAGAGCATTTCTCTCTTTACGGCAAACCCCCATCATCTTTAGTTTGGGATCATTTTAACAAAAATTATCTCTTTTTCATAAACAAGTCTAATCTTTCATTCCGAGTACCAAACATTACACAAGATTTCTGATGAAATCATTTCCAAAACCTTAATTTTGCAACCAAAACGAACTTCCTCTAAAGAACAAACCATAATTCAGTCTACTGGGGCAGACATTGCAGTACAGTGAGCAAAGCCGCTGCTTGCACCAATGGCATCCCATATCAGTGCCATTTCAAGGCATGGCTGCTCTACTTCCCATCCAGCTCTCTGCTAACATGCCAGGAAAGGCAGTGGAGAATGACCCAAGTATCTAGGCCCCTGCACCCACATGGGAAACTCAGCTGGAATTTCTGGTTCCTGGTTTTCATTTGGCTTTGCTGTGAACTCTTCAGCCATCTGAGGAGTGAACCAGTAAATGAAAGAAATCTCTCTCTCTCTCTCTCTCTCTCTCTCTCTCTCTCTGTGTGTGTGTGTGTGTGTGTGTCCCTTTTTCTCTGTAATTCTGCCTTTCAAGTAAAAATAAAATAAATCTTTTAAAAGAAGTATTAGGATTAGGGAAGAATTTTCTCTTTTACACTGGGCCACAGCAGCTTGACAAATGCTTGACATTTCTAGGAATGACTGCTTTAATACTGAATTTGATTGAATGTTAATCAAACATGCATGAGAAGCAGAGGGGAGTAAAGTGGTTTAACTTGGTAAGAATACAAAATAAATGTACCCCCATGATTAAAGTTGAGTTGTTCCAATAGCCTGACACTTAATAAGTCTCAAGATTTAGGGGAAGTCATTTGTATTAGCCAGTAGTTGCCTTTCTTTGCTTTGCTGAAGATAATAGAAAAGGGATAGAGGGAGACTTTTCAAACTTAAATCATGGAAAGATCTCTGGCCTTCAGAAAACAATAAATATAAATTTGCAATTTTAAACCTAGGAGAAAAAGCTATTGGGTTAGTTACTAATACTTTTTAAGATTTATTTTATTTTTATTTAAGTTATGAAAAAGGAAAGACAGAGATAGAGCTTTCCCATCTGTTGGGTTTTTTTCTCAAATGGCTTCCAAGAGGGATCCAGCTGGAGTTGGATGGATCCAAAGGCAGAAGCCAAGAGCCTCTTCCAGGTGCCCACATGGGTGCAGGAGCCAAATGATTTGAGCCCAACTCTGCTGCTTTTCCACATCATTAGCAAGAAGCTGGATGAGAATGGAACAGCCTTGACTCCAGCAGGAGCCATATGGGATGCTGGTGCAATACGCCTAGCCCACTACTTCCCAGTGCCAGCCCCTAAATGATATATTTTGAAACCTGGTGAAAACCTAGCACCTGACAGAAACCATGACTTTAAATCCAATTTCCTATTGAATCATGGAAGAGCTTCTAAAATACATGGATGATCAGACCCCATTCTGGGGTTCTGTTGTTCTCAGGGGGGTAGAGCCCAGACACTCTCACTTTTATAAGTAGCCAACGGGAGGGGTGGGCATTTAGCCTGGTGGCTAATTTGCCCAGATTCCACATAAAAATACCTGGTTCAACTCCTGACTCCAGCATCCTCTCCTTGCAGATCCTGAGAGGAAAATGTGATGATTCAAGTATTTGGGCCCCAGCCACCCAAGCGAGAGACCTGGACTGAATTCCAGGCTCTGTGCTTTGGCTGGCCCAGCCGTACCCACTGCAGATATTTGGGGTTTGAAGCAATAGAAGAAAGATCTCTTTATGCCTCTCTGCCTTTTAAATAAAATAAAAATAATTGAAGAAAAATCTTTTAAATTATCAGTCCACTAAGAAGACATCTTTAATGTGTGCACTCCAATCTTACCTGTAATACTACTGCCAATAACTTCAAGCTTCATTTCTCTCAAATCTTTCTGAGTGATTGGAGCTAAATACATGCTTTAGTCTCCCTTTACTGGATCTTTTCCCTAGCCAAAGCCTCTCTGAGTTTGTCTTCCTGTTAACACCAATTTTTTTTTAAGCACCTAGATTTAAATTTTAATCATGTTTATCAAATTCTGTGCCATTTCCATTCCACTGTTTGTTACATGGAGCCCATCAGTTCTGCTTTCAATGTGATGACCAATCCCTGGTCCATCTTTCACTTGATAAAACGTCCTAACCGGGACAATAATGTGGCAGAGCTGGTTAAGCCACTTATTATCAGACCACAGCTACTCCACTTCCAATTCTACTTCCTGCTAGTGTATCTGGAAAGGCAGTAGAATACAATCCAAGTACATAAACTCCTGCCAGCCATGGGAGACCAGCAAGGAGCTCCTGGATCCTGGCTTTAGCCTGGCTCAAACGTGGCTGTTACAGTGGGATGTAAACCAGAAAATAAAAAATCTGTGTGTGTGTGTGTGTGCATTATTTTGCCTTTAATATAAATAAATAATTGCTTTTTCAAAACTTGTGAACTAGTATACTCATTCCTATTCAGGTTAGCCATCCTAAAGTGCTGAAGTGTTTTTAATCTCCCTCCAAACAAAATCTCAGCTCCCTTTAAGTCTGACTTAAAAGGTTTGTCAGTTTGCCCTTACAAACTCTCATTTGATTCCTCTACTTCAACCCAACTAGATCTCACTGGGTTCTTAGACAGCCTTCATGCTTTCCTTGCAACTCTGGAACCAGAATGTCTTTCTCCATCTCCATCTGGGAAAATGCCACTTTTCCTTAAGTCTTGTCCTCAAATTGCACCTTCATGATGGAGGCAGTATTAGAGTAAGAAATGAGCACAAAATGCCAGCCTCCTTAGCAGGTGTAGTCTTTTTCCCTTCCAATCTTCTGAAACTTTTGTTGAATATTTTATTCCTACAGAACTTAATGGACTCTGTTCTGAGCCTTTTAGGCTGCACTTCAGCATCTCTCCCTTAAGTTGTAAATTCTAGAAGACACTTCTAACATCTTCCTCTGCACCACTCACCCTCTCCAGTGCCAGGTCAAGTGTATGGCACAGACTGAAAGCTTAGTAAATTATTTGTTGAACAACTCAAGAGCCAATTTTTCCACCAAAGTATTCCTCCCTTCCCTTGTACCACTCTTCCTTCCTTCTTTCTTTTTTATCACAGTTGTGGATTCTTACCTTTCAAACATAGAATATTAATGCCAGTTAACTCCTGATTTATCCCAAAACACAAACAATTCTGTGTGCCAATAACCCTTTTCTATTATATAAAGCGAACTACCTGACATGCGTTTGTAGTGTGTGAATGCGCTTACATAGTAAATAACTTCTAGATGTGTGTGTATAATCCCGATCTTTCACTAACACTATGTTCAGTAAAATTTCTTGCAATCTAACATGGAAATTTAAATTTGGAGTTTAAATATTTTCTTAGCAAAAACCGATGTCAGCATTCTTGCTCTTTTAGGCATAAAATCAGTTTGCCCTAACAACTGATTAGCAGTAAATTTAATGTTTTAATCTTGTACATGTGTCTGTATGGATATTCCTTAGTTCTTTGAACCACCAGTGACTCCTTGTCCTTTACTTTCCTCGGCTGCTGGACTTTGCTCACAGCGCCTCAGTCTGGAAGCACATACACCTAGGAAACAGTTTATTCCTGATTCAACCAAAATGCAGTTTATTTAAGTGCATCACAACTTTAAAGTGGATGTTGGGTTCTAAAATCATGATGATGTTTATTATTTACTCTATTCTACTAGACCACTCCTCACATTCAATACTGCAAATTAACTACTCCCATCGTTATTTTTGGCTAACTTTATAACCTGTGATTTCCATTTTAGGAAAAGTGCTAGCTTTATCTCTAATTAAAAATTGGCTGCTTCTGTTTTGCAGACCCAACATCAGGCAACTCTTTAGACTGGGCTTACAAGATGGGCATCAAATACACATTTGCCTTTGAGCTCCGAGACAGAGAAAGATTCGGTTTTCTCCTTCCAGAATCTCAACTGAAACCAACCTGTAAAGAGACCATGCTCGCTGTCAAACTCATTGCCAAGTATGTCCTCAAGCATGCCACCTAGAGACCTGCCCTCACACTGGATAAGCCAAGTCATCCCTGCTGTCCCTTCTGCCCACTCATCCATGTCCACAGGACACAGCTTTCATGTCACCAGAACAGGCCTCTCTAGCTCACTGGTATCCTGTGTGACTTCTTCCCTTGAGTATGCTCAGCAGCAGCTTAACAAACCAGCATGAACTGATAGCTTTTAACTGCCCTTCTTTGCTCCAAATGAATTCTGATCCAGGAAGAGAACATTACTTCCATTATTTTTGAAAGATGATGCAGTATCTCTAAAACTAGGTTTCCCAGAAATCACATTTCATCAGAATCCTCTAATTCTCCAGGAACAGAGTCTCACCATGTAGCTTCTTCGTGCCATATGCTAATGCAGTAACAACTAATGGGCACCACTATACTTTAAAATGCATATGTAGACTTACATATCAATAAAAAATGAAATAAATATGCAAAGGCGCATCTCCTGTTTTTGATCAACTACATTCTCTACATTTGTCTGCTAGTTAATAAAAATGAATGCCTCTCCAGCAATCCAGAACTCTTGAACTATCAAAACTGCTTGAGCAGGGCCCTCGGAGCATGCCTCACATCAGGGACCTGGGATGGGTGGGAGGCTGGGTGGGTGGGGCTTCTCCCTTTGTTTCTCCCCCAACCCCAGATACAGGAGGAGAAAAAGTGATGATACTAGTGTGGAAACAATACTATTACCCACTTTCCTGTAGCCCTTGACCCTTTGTACCTTAATCAACTAAGTAAGATTATTAAAAAAGAAAAAAAGAAGAAAAAAAAAAAGAATGCCTCTCACCTAAGCTGTTAACTACAAAGAAGTTATCCGGGCCCAGCGGCATGGCCTCGCGGCTAAAATCCTGCCTTGAATGCCCCGGGATCCCATATGGGTGCTGGTTCTAATCCCGGCAGCTCCACTTCCCATCCAGCTCCCTGCCTGTGGCCTGGAAAAGCAGTCAAGGACGGCCCAAAGCTCTGGGACCCTGCACCCGTGTGGGATACACGGAAGAGGTTCCCAGTTCCCGGCTTCAGTTGCGGTCACTAGGGGAGTGAATCATCGGACAGAAGATCTTCCTCTCTCTCTCCTCCTCTCTGTATATCTGACTTTGTAATAAAAACAAATAAATCTTTTAAAAAAAAAGAAAGAAGTTATCCAACTTTTTTAAAATGTCATTTGCCTAAATATATATATTTTTTCTTTCCTAGCAGGAAATAAGAGACTGTATACAGATGGGTCTCAGAGTGTTAAACAACCAAACTAGTTCTCATCAACAGAATGTAGACTAGGTTCAAAACAGACTGTGATCCAAGGAAACTACCTACTGAAAAATCTCTGGGCAAGTGCAAACACAGCCAAGACAATCCGGTCCGCTGTAGCACCTGTGTCCTGATGCATGGGGAAGAAGGCTGGCAATTATTACAGGTAGAGGAGAGAAAAGTCTGCTGGCCAAAGGCAACTTTGTTCGTTTCCTGTTGTCTTTGTCCTACTTTTTAAGACGATGTTACCAAAGCCTGGGCCCCAACATCCATCCCTCCGTGTCTGATTAGTTAAACTACAACAGTGCTGTGTACATTCAGGAAATCCAGAACAGGTAATCTCAGCACACGCCTTGCAAAAACTTGAGGGACACATCGACAGCTCCTTGATTTGACCAAAACGTACTTCCCAGAATACCCTTGGGTACTGTCATTGAGAATCCTGAAAGGCCCTTGAACTTGTCCATAAGTAACTGGGGACCTTTCTTGATGAATTATGTACGGACACAAGAAGTATGCATCAAACCTACAAGGTGATGGTGTGTATGACAGCCATGAGGTACGCAAAAGTTCCCCTAGCAAATCACACACACACACACACACACACACACACACACACACACACACACACACACACATATATAAATATTTAACTTCCCAGTCTGGTTCAGAACATAAGAGTGTAAATTTTTTCCATCCATGGGAATGCAAAATTTTTATACACACTCATACTTACTCACCTGAGAAAGAGGTGGACTAAACTCTCACCCTAAAATTCATGTAAATATCTCTACCCCCACTGGGACTTAGGGTGAAGGAGAGAGAGAGATGATCTCAATTTCTCAGTATTATCCTGCGTCCATCCAACATTCAATTTACAAAAGACATACATTTTACACACCATTTGTCTGAGATATTATGTACTTAAATATTTCTTTTTCTTGATGAGAAAAAAAATTACCTGAATGGCTGAATGCCGAAAACAGCAACAAGGCCATTTCTTATGCTAATTGGATAGTCTCTGATTGGCACCCCAACTGTTCCGTTGCTTTGATTTTGTTGGGATCCCATATGGACACTAGTTCCCATTCAGCTCCCTGCCTGTGGCCTGGGAAAGCAGTCGAGGACGGCCTAAGGCCTTGGAACCCTGCACCCACATGGGAGACCCAGAAGAAGCTCCTTGCTCCTAGCGTTTAGATCGGTTCCGCTTTGGCCATTTTGGCTACTTGGTGAGTGAATCAGCAGATAGAAGATCCTTCTCACTGTCTTCCTTCCTCTCTGTATATCTGACTTTCCAATAAAAATAAATATACCTTTAAAAAAAAAAGGTGCCAGTTGGAATGTCTGTGATCATGAGTGCCCATGTGTGATGTGTAACTCCAGCTCCTGACTCCAGTGTAATCCTGGAAGGCGGTAGTGATAGCCCAGGTAATTGAGTCCCTGCAACCCATGTGGGAAACAGCTTGAGTTCATCCAGCCCCAGCCCCAACCAAAGCTGGCTGGAAGGTCTCTGCCACCTGTCTCCTTTCCCTAACCCCTCCTTGCTCTGTCTCCAGAGTCTTCTAAAAATACATGGACAATGTGTATTCGGAAGAAATCATACATGAAACAACACAAATCAGCAGCAGGAAACAATTTCAGCTCAACGCTAGTTTATTTGAGCATCTACAAGCAGTGGAATCCAGAAATTAGGCCTGGCCACATACTGCTCCTGAAAATTGATCCCCTCTGCCTCTACCCTTCCCTGTATCTTCATTCCATCTTCCTCAGGAATAGATCTTCCTTGTTTTGAACTAGGTGCATCTTTCAAAACTCTCTTTCGAGGCTCTCTTAACAATAGAATTACTGTTAGACGGTTCTAGCCTGAAATATCACACAATGCTATCTAACTCAATGAAGCGGGCAAGGAAGAAATATTCTATCACCTAGCAAGGAAAAACCTTGAGAAAATAACAGCAAGTTGAGATGTCCTCTGCTTGCAGAAGGATGCCTCGTCATCATTCAAATGATGACTTGCAGAAAATTATTAGTGGAACTCAAATTAAGGGACACAAATACTTGGGCTTTCCTAAGCTAGGGTATTTCACTGTGTAAAAACACATGAAAAGAACAGTTTCTAAACAGTGAGATTAGCGTGAATACCGGGCAATATTTCAATGATTATACCTTTCTATTTCTTTCTCGTTTTTAACACAATTCTGTTTCATGATTAACATATCAAGGCTCTTTTCTATAATGAGTCATAATGGTACCTTGAAAATTTCGGCGGCATATAGGCTACTGTCAGAATTTCCCTAGGCAGAGCTTTTGGGAGACTAGCTTGCATTTCATTGTCACAAAATCCATTATGCCAGGACAGATCTCAGGCTGCCTGAGTAATATCTATCTGAGAGTTATAATTTTGTCATAAAAATTTACTCTCACATGAACTTAGCATAAAAGGTCTCCGTCCAGGAAAAAAAAAAGGAATTGAAATGGATATATTATCACTTGAACTGCTTTTCTGCACACTTATCCTTCAATTACAAGCCTTAAGTTCACTGGTGTCAAGAGAGGTTAAACCAGAAAAAAACGTAAAACAATTTTTGAAATATGTGAAGGAAATTTGACACTTAACGTTCCAAATGCGTTATTATTGCCATGGTATCACTGAAGTGTGCTAGCAGTTCATTTTACAGTGTGGGTTAGAGGCTTAAAAGACGGCTTGTGAAACAAAGAAAAAATCCATATGTATCAGTTCATATACAAAATAATTTACCAGGGCTTTTACCAAAAGTTCCACTTTACACAACTTGCATTTCAACAAGTAATTAAATTGTAATGGGGCAAAGAGGGGGGGAGGTGAGAAGGGCAAATTTTGAGCATTGTAATTACACTGGCAGAAATGAGCATAAGAAATGCAACATTTGCATACTACTGGATGACACAAAATTGCCCTCACGTGAAGATCTGCATCTCATCACGAGTTTATAAGACTCAGTTGGAGAAGGTTATTCTTATGCCCATTTTTACCATAAGACCTGTAGTTCACAGTACAACCATGGCTCACATATGTAAAGCTGAAAATTGAAAGCTAGACCTTTACACTTTGAAATTCCAGTTTAAATCAAACTGTCCAATGGTTATTGGTTCTCTACGTGGCAGAGAGAGAGAGAGAGACAGACAGAGAAAGAGACAGAGAGAGAATGAAATCATCTTACATGCAAGTCACTGCTGTAGGCTTAAGATTCTTGATGATGATGACACATCAGATGCTACTGTGGCAGGTGCAGGGTAGGGTGCAGTGAAATCTCCAGAGAGGCTGTGACACCAGATTGCTGAGGCCCAAGCCCAGAGTTTCTGATGTGATAGGTCAGGGCTGGGGCTGAAAACTCATGTGTTTACAAGTTCTTAGTGATATGGATGCTGGCGTTCCAGGCAACACATTTTGAGAATCAACAGTCCAGAACACTTCTAAAATTCTCTCCTATTTTTTCAATTGTTGTTTTTAAAATAATTGTAGTGCTATTTATGCACTGTGTCATTCATCTGCCAACAATAATTTACTCATGTGCTTTATTTTAATTAAAGTTACATGCAAATCAAATAGATAAATATGGGGCAGGATTTTAGTACAAGGGCGATAGTACCACTTGTGACATCACATTCCATAACAAAGTGCCTGAGTTGGATTCCCAGGTCAGTTTCAGTTCTAGCACAGCAGGCGATGGCCAGGTGCCTACCACCCACCCACCCGGGAGACCTGGATTAACTATTCGGAACCTGGTGTTGGCCTGGCCCAGTTCCAGCTCTTGAGAAAATATGAGGAATGAACCAGCAGATGAAGACCCCTGCCTTTCAAATAAGTGGGAAAAAATCAAAACAGGAAGGAAAATATTACCATTCTAATTCTTCTGCAAAAATGTTTGTAAATAATCTCTTTCTTTGTCTTTTCCTCTGTCTGCCATTTTGGCTTTCAAATAAATATTACAGACCTTTTAAAAACATTTTAAATTTGTAAAGAAAATCCAGGTGCTTAAACACAGATTTTTGTATTATAAATCCATTGCACATTAAAATCATCCATAAATATATAGGAATAAGGATCTCTACTCTGATATTTACTGATTCTATATATTGTAACAACTATTATGAATTGACTTTATTATTCATATTTATATTTTATGCACTGCATTTATTGAAATTTAACATATTTTAACTTGTAAGTGAAATACTGTGTCCAAATTCTTTTTCTTTCTGTTTTATTTTTAATTTTGTGGTATAATTCCATATGCTCTGGGATTTCACCTACCCCCTCCCGAAGTT